CTTCCCTCAACCCTGCCAGACGAGTCACCCGTGGGCGCGCCTGGAGACGAGGACTTAGCCATCTCTTTGGCCATCGATGGTAAGTTACAGTACTATCATCAGCTCTCTATTGTGGCCCAAACATTCGTACTTGGCCTGCTAACCTTTTTACTTCTACTCAAGAAATAATCTACTAGGACGCAATTGTCAGAATGCCCATTCAGACCAGCGTCCAACACCCGCGATAGGTTGCATCCTTCTAAAATAAATGGGACAAACATTACTGACAATAGAAAACTATTTTGCCCATTTCTGTTTTTCTGGTTAACTCGCCCTCAGCCAGTCAGTCAGTGACGCCCCAGCCCCAGGCCTGAAAAACACGATATCTGACTTCAGGTTTAGCTGTTCACTGAGCGTAGCAATACTGTTCTATCTAGGGACTCAAACCCTGGGTGCTGCAATCCGTCAGCGACATGGATACGGATGTACCTTAACGTTAATGAGAGATCGATGCGCTTAGGTTATTGATAGAAGACGGGAAGGCGTTCTCTGGGATCAGTTGTTTATTCGTCTGAAGTTTCGAATTCTCACGCGAGTCCATCGTCAAGGCGTAAAGGATTATACAGCTCACTGCATATTTAGGTAACCTCCGCCGGCAGTGACTTTGAGCTGTGCCATTGATTTGTTCGCGCAAGGAGATGGATATACCTATTAATAGAATCCTCGCGTGAGTACCATGCCTCCTGTAGCTGGCGTAAAATTCGGTCATCTGACTTACCCAGTATTCTCACGCCTTCGAAGTCAAAGCCGTGCCCTGGCGAGGATGTATGAGCGGCTACCAAGGTAAGCTTGTCCTTCCTTCGCGCAGCGAGCTCATGAGAGCCCGTTTGCCAGTCTCGCCAACAAAACTAGTTTGACCACAAAAACAGCCCATCGGGTAAATGACACAGAATTTTTGGTTGTTAGGTATTGGGTTTTTAAGCTGCATGAGTTGCCTGCGGATTGTCGCTTCCAGTCTGTGAGTGACACTAATCTCGAATTCGCTGACCAGTCGAGTGAATTCTTCAGATATAAGGTATTGCTCGCCAGCATTTCGGTTTTGGCTACTCCTTCGGTTTTCTTACTTGAGCTTCTCGCCTGCATTTTTCAACGAAACTGCCAGGATATCGTGAATAGTTTTCGCAGAAACGGGACCTCAGCCTTCTTGTCGGCTGGTTCAGTGCAGTGGGTTTCTACTCGGCGGTATAGTTTTCGCACGCAGCTGGGTTTGTGCAAGACGGGGCGGTTACTTAGGTTTACTCAGAATACTAGAGTT